CAGGGTCAGCCGACTGACCTCCTGGTGCCGCCCCCCAGCCCCCCTGCTGGACCTAGCCCCAACCACCCACCCCTTCGGGGGATGGGGTCAGCCAACCTCCCCCCACCGGCCTGGCCCAATGGCCTCCATCGGGGCAGCCGGCCGGACCCCACCCGTGCATGAATTTATGCACCGGGCCTCTAGTAAAGTTATAAAGAAGAAAAAAGAATAGTATAACAAAAAAGCATATTTGTAGACTCAAATAGACTGTCATCTTAGCTTAAGGAACTCTAAAATAACAAGCTGTCTTTTGCTTGTTTTGTTAACTTACTGCCAGTGGGTGTGTTGAAATGCTTTGAAATTTCTGCAGCACCTGTGCAGCAGAGAAAGAGGTCTGAGCTCCAGGAATCTCTGTCTCTCCCTCAGATTGGCGGCACAGACCTGACGTCTTGGTTGCACATTTTGTTGCTACCACTTTAAGCATGAGTAAAAGAAACACGCAAGCAGATGATAGCAATGGTGGTCATATTTGGAGCAATAGCTATATGCTATGCTTTGTATAGCACTGAGCTTAACACAGATCTTATTTACCCTTTTAAAATTAACTTCTATTTTCCTCCCATTACTTCAAGAAGAACTCAAATAGCGGTCAGTAATCTACTCGCACTTAGCTGGATTGGTTTCAGATTGCATGGCTTAACTGTGGCTTTCTGTAAAATAGGGACTTAGGTACCACAGGGGTCCACATGGAGCGATCACAGGCCACAGAAAAGCATTTAATAGTTATATGTAATCAAATTTATGAAAACTCACCCAGAAAGGCACCTCACTATTTATAGGAGTGCTATAACAAATCTTTTGCAAACTAGAGAACCTATTTGTAATGTAAAATCTCTTAATATGTCTACTTTTTTTAAAATAACTTTGTTTGTTTGTTTTTAAATATATTTTATTGATTTTTTTTACAGAGAGGAAGGGAGAGGGATAGAGAGTTAGAAACACTGATGAGAGAGAAACATCGATCAGCTGCCTCCCTGCACACTCCCTACTGAGTATGTGCCCGCAACCAAGGTACATGCCCTTGACCGGAATCAAACCTGGGACCTTTGAGTCCGCAGGCCGACGCTCTATCCACTGAGCCAAACCTGTTAGGGCAATTTGTCTACTTTTAAATTTGAATTTTTGTGTATATGTGGTCTTCATATAGTAAGACACTTATGAAATTTCTGAAAGCCCAGGTAAATATAAAACAATCAAACATAATTTTCACTCACTCATTCAACACTGTGAAATGATGCCATGTACTAAAAGCACTGTTCCAGGTAAGAGGGAGGGCCCTGGTTTAGTCCATTAATGCCCCTAAAGTGTTCAACTGAGGCTGGGGAAGAGAATTCTGATGTGTTAAATATTTTTTACTTGGAAAGTGAAAAAATGAAATAAGCACTTCCCTTCTATAATACAGCTATTCATTGATTTCTTGAAAGCAATGCCATAGATAATTATTTTGAAATCTCCTTGCATATAACTCACAATACAATAATGTGATGAATTTGGATTGTCACAAAATATCATGTTTTAAATGATAAGAACTTGGTAAGTCTTAGGAAGCTGAATGTACCGGAGCTCTAAACTGTACTTAAGAATCTGAAGAGACCTCAGATTCTCGTGTTCATGCCGCCCCCTTTTCAGTCCCAACCCTTCCTTTGTGTGTTTTTTTGTTTGTTTTGTTTTTTTCCAGAGGAAGGAACTCATGTTCAGAAAGTATTGAAAGCAGCTGAAATTGGAACCAGCCAGGTCATTTCATCTCAGACTTTTTAGCTGAATGATTCCATTCCTCCTCTTTCTCAGTTAGAAAAATCTATATAGAAATGACATATTTTAGGGTTTGAGGGGTGTTCTCTTGCTCCCTTTTAGTCAAACTTGTAAGCAGAAAGTATGGTGGCAACAGATGATGGATGGTAAAAAGAATTTATGCAAGGATAGCGGAACAGACCCCTCTCCGGGGTCAGGTCCCATCAGCCCTTGACTGACCTAGGGTCCCCCTAAAACTCTGCCCAGCCACTCGGAGATTAGGCTGCTGGGCGGGCGAAACTACAAGTCCCAAGATGCAGAGCCTTCTTTTTCTATGAAGCCCGGACGCCCCCTCGTTCCATTCTGGGAAATGTAGTTTCCTTTAACTCGGGCAGCAACACTGTCTAGGAAACCTGGGTTATTACGTTTGAGGGCGCCCTCCCTCCATTGACCCCGCCCCAGGTTGCTTAGGAGTTGAGAGACGCCGAATCTTGGTGTGGGCTCCGGGCCGAACCAGTGCAGAGGGAAATCTGAGGTCTGCGCTGCGAGGGCGGTCATGGAGAACTTTGGCAGCTCCCGCCACGACTTGTGCAGCACTAGGGGATACCAGTTTGAGATTGGACCCCCCGACGTGCTGGAGCGCAAGGGCTCCCTGACCCTCCGCTCCCGTCACAAAAAATACTCGAATCCGGTGTTGGTGTATTCCTGGTGAGCGAGCTCTCCCAAGTTCCCCTTTCTCTGGGTCTGGGAGAGGGAGAATCGCGGAAGAGATGGGGAAAGGAAGGAGAGTAATAGAGCGAGGACAAGGGTGGAGAGGATAGAATAAACAGAAGAGGATGAGAACAGAGGAAGGGAACAACAGAGAAAGAAGGGGAAAGAATGAAGAGGTGGGAAAGAAAAGGATGAGACAGAAATGGGAGAGGAGAGAAGAGAAAAGCAAGGGAAACATCTTCAAAGGAGAAATGGGGAGGGTAGGAATGCAAATTGGGAACCGAGGAGAAGATAGGAGAGGAGCGCTCTGGACGAGTGGCTCCCCAGCACACACCAAGACCTGCTGCAGCCCGTGTCCTGCCACCAGGGGTCATAGATCACCCAGGTGCAGGATGGACCGGAGGGTGTTTGCAGAGGCGTGGAACTCTGGTCTCTGAGACTAGTACTTGCTCACAAAAGCAGGGCATTAGGAGGAGGCCAGGGGACAGGAGAGAGATGTTTGTTCAGAACATGGCTTCTAGGACTGTCATTTGGCAGTAAGGCACACTGAATAACTTGAAAGACATCCCTAAATATCACCTAGGGCCTAGCCTAGGTGATAGGCTCCTATTAGGCTCCTAGGACTCTTCAGACCAGAGACTGCAAACTGGTATTTCCCACTAAAGGCCAACAGTTTGTTTGGCATGCCCTGTGTTTTCATTTTTAAATAATTGCCCACATTTAAAACCAGGACGTTATACATAAAAATGCAGGATTATGTCTTTCCTTGGAAAGCTGAAAGGATTTTATTCTTCCTGGCAACAATGAATGTACCACTACGGAAGATAAGAGTTCTCTTTGTTAATTGCACTCATAAAAGTTCCTGCCTGGTCCCAGAAGGCATTCGCTTTACTTCCTTTGCCTTAGCCCTTGGGCTTTGAATTCACTTAGAGATTATCTGGTTTTATTAACTATTGCAGTAACCAATAGCAAAACCATAACATATAACTGGGAGAAAAATGGGGACTTTTAGGGCAATTAGGATTCTGTATTTGGAATTCTCTGGGGGAGAGCAAAAAGAGTAAGTGAAGTCATCTTCTTTATACTTTTGCCATTTAAAGATGATTTTTGACTTAGCCCTAAAGCTAAGCCTTCCTTGATCCCATTCATTCATGCAATGTATGTGAGCCCTGTAGCTTCTGTCTTGCAAATTTTTCACACCTATTCCTTACTTTTCCAAAGCCTTATTTTTTTTTCTCATCTCCAAAATCTGCCTGCTTTGAATTCAGTGTGAAAGTTTATATAGATTTGAAATCCAAAGCTACATTGGGAAACAAAATCCTCTTTTAGCTTCATACAGGGCTTACCTCATGGCCCTCAAGCAAAAGCACTTAGCTCTTCCATGATTCTGTTACTCCATAAGGATTTAAGTTATGATATAAATCACTACTAGAAATTATTGTTACAGAGAAAGGTCTTTTCAAGTGGATAGTGCTTTGCACTTTTCTCCATTGCTCTGAGGAGTTGCCTTGTGAACATTGTAGACATCAATAGCAAAACTACAGAAGAACAGAAATGAGAAGGATGTGAGGAATTTGGTGCGGAGAAGGGTGGTATAACACTGAAAGTCATCCTGGCCACTTCTGGAAATGTAGAGAGATTTCTCATGCTGTTGATTTTAGAAAGACGGTTTGGGAGCAGGAAGAAATAAATTCAGTCCAATTAATAGCTACATATTGGAGATGCAGAGATGAATAAGGAGATTCAATGAGATAATTTGTATAAAGCATTTAGCACCATGCCTGGCACATAGTAAGCAGTCAATAATATGTGGTATCTAGTAATACTATTTATTTAGGATAACATAATGGTTAAAAGTGTGGGCTCTAGGTTGAACACCAACTTTGCAGCTTGTGATATGGCAAGTGATACTCTGGGCCTCTGTTTCTGCGACTGTGAAATGGGCATGATAGGATTCTAGTAAGATTAAACACAGTGTTGTATGTGAAGCTCCTTTTTAACATATAGCCTGCCACATAGTAAGCACAGTAACTGGTATATACATACATAGGATATTTCATTGACCTAAAGGAAGTTCATAGGCCAGTAAAAGAAAATGTCAATCTTATTTGTGCAAAATAGAGATGAGTATAAGAGGCAAAGGGAACAGGAAGGGAAAGTTAGTGTATGTGTTTGTGTGGGGGGGCGGGCAAGGGGGTGGTTTCCTGAGCAGGGTTTAGAAAGAAGAATAAGAGCTTCATAGGTAAATAAAAGAAAACAGGTAAATGCAGTGGATTAGCAAGCAGCAGCATAGGGAAATAGAAGTAGTTCTCTATAGTTGGCAAATACAGTTGATACTCATTTGTAGGTTTTGTATTTGCAAATTTGTCTACTTGCTAAAATTTATTTGTAACCTTAAGTCAATGGTCGAGGTGCTTTCATGGTCATTTATGGACATGTGCAGAGAGGCAAACATTTTGAGTTACTGTCTACACACATTCCCAGATGAGGTCAGACAAAGTGACATTCTGCCTTCTTCTTTTAGCACTCATGGGAGCAGGTATTCTTTTTGCAGTCTATTTAGTGCCACTTTTTTTTTTTTTGCATCTTTGTGATTTTTGAAGGTGATTTCTTGTTAAAACGGTCCTGAAGTATAGTGCTCAAGTGCTATCTAGTGTTCCTAAGTTCAAAAAGTGTGTGATGTGGAGAAAATTATGTGTTACATAAGCTTCATTCAGGCATGAGTAATAGTGCTGTTGGCTGTAAGTTTGATGTTAATGAATCAACAATGTATATTGAATAAGGTGTCTTTAAATAGAAACACACATAATACCAGGTAATATTTTGATTGGTTTATGAAAATGGCTCACAGGAAACAAACCCTATATTTCTGAGCTGGATGTACTGCGGGTGCTCTTCTTTTCTTCCATATCCAACCAGTTACCAAGATCTGTCCTAAAAACAAAACAAAACAAAACAAAAAACTGCATAAAGTTCAAATTGTATAAACTTCCAAACAAATGATGTCATTGACCATTTTGTTCTTTTGCATTCTGGTCATATTTGTTTGGTTTCTACTGACTTATTTTAGTACATATTAAAGCTTTTATTGATTTTTATGCTTTTATTAAAGGTTAGCACTTGCTACTTATAAGACACCATTTGAGTGGCCTTTCAACTGAGTATTTGATTAAATGACTATATCCATGGGTTTGCAAAATAGAATTGGTGTTTGGAAAAAATTTTGACTTACCTAGTTTAAACTTTTGGGTGATTCCCGTTTTCTGTTTATGTGGCATGTAATACAAGTCTGCTTGACTTCACTACACATATTTAAAATGGTTGTGTATAATGGATGTGATAAAGTGATATACCCGGAATGGTTGTTAGAGGTATTACTGGGATGAGACATTGTCTAGGAGCCATCTCTTCCTTGCAGCTGGAGTGATAGAGAGCCATATCACCTGCATCTCACCTTGATGCTTCTGAGTGAGAGAAGCCTTTTCTAGAGATTACTCTTCTCTAGTCATTTCTGTAGTATTTATGGAGCTATATCATCAGATGATTTCTTCAGAAATTCTGAATTGAGGAAAAATTTTGTCTTGGGATATCTTCCCACTCACAGGAATAATGCAATACGAAGAACCAGAACAACTATACTTGTCTTTAATAAATTCTCTGGTGTGAGACTATTTATTTATTTATTTATTTATTTTTACTCTTCCCTTCCTTGTCCAAATCAACATTCAGTAATAAGTGATGATCATTTAAAGCAAAAAAAAAAAAATTATTTGAGTTCCCTTGGAGATAGTTCATGTTCTGGTCTCCATGGTGACAGAGTTTTAAGAGTTCAGGTTAATTTTATGCATTTGTTATTTCAATTACTTTTCTCCCCTGCCTAAAATAAAGAGCCAAACCCCACCCTGTAATAGGAAGAAAACAGAAAAAGAGGAAGAAAAATAAAATATGGTGATAATTGTGGGATAGGGATAGCGTGAATCCATAATAAAACCAGAGTTGATTTTCACAGCCATAATTCTGATGCAGCAAGATAACATCAAAACATTTTTGGGCATCTCTGCATAAGCGAGCTTAAAGAGGTATAATGCATTAGACTTCTGATTAGAATGGTAAAGCATTTAAAATGGGTGCTAAGCTGTGCTTTCCCTCGTTTAGTGCAGGACTTAGCAGGGACTAACAGGTAATAAGGAGATTTTGAGTTAATATAGGGACAAATTTTAAGATCACTCTATCTGTCCCATGTTTTGGAGCTTCTGGGTCTTTTTGTTGATAGAAACCTAAGAAATTCGAGCCTTTTATTTCTCAACAATGCCCAACTTTCAAGAAAAATATCTCCCTCAGCACTCAAAAATTCCATCTTGTTAGAAGTTAACAGCAACGCTTTTTTTTCCTTCATACTCTTGGCACAACAGTCTTAAATGTTCCCAAGGCAAAATGTAGATGCCTCTGATTTATTAGTGCGAATGTTATCTTAAAGAGTTAAGCAAAGAAAAGTACAAAGATTAATATTTCAAAAAACAATCTTACTATAAGTGAGCAAAAAAAGGCAGTACATATTGGATTCTTTTGTCAAAAGATGTGTCTATATGGCATTGAAAAGAGACTGAAAGGATATTCACCATGTAACACAAAATATTTACAGCTGAATGGTGGATTTATGGATTATTTATCCTTTTTTTCTCTTTGCCACTCTACATTTTCCATAAGGAACTTGTATTATTTTCATAAAAATAAATTAAAATTACTTCAAAAATTTTTTATATCATTGTCTATGTATCTTCCCCTGGAGCAAACATTTCCTAAATGGTCAGAATTTAAACACAATACTTCATCTCTTTCAGAGTCTGAGTCATTCTTCATAGTTTATTATGAGTCTTTTTAAAATATCTTTTTAATTGCTAGTTTAAGTTGGATGAAAAGGATGATGCTATTCACATTCATTTGGTTTAACCGCCCTTTCATTCTGTGCTCTATAATGGTAGATCCTATGCTACGGT